GAAAATAGGGTGACCCGGGCGGCCCGGCTGGTAGCCTAGACAATAAGTGAATAATACAGCTCAGGCCTGCCAGGAGAGCCGCAAAGTAGAAAGAGTCGAAAATGCCACGGGTTTTTGCATTGTAAAATCATGAAAATTCAAGAATATCTGCATGGTCCAGCGGTCTACGTTTTCTTTTCATCAAATCAAAAGCAAAGAGCACAGCAGATGCGTCAGTTTATTTTTTCGTTTTTTGTTTTTTGTTTTTCAAAAATTTTCAAAATTTTAGGTTTTTTTATGGTCATGCAAGGATAATGAGCGATAGCCAAATGACAGAAATCCAGAATGCAAAACCACATTGAAAGCCAGCCAGTCCAACGCTGTCCAGAAAGCAGAAATGCACCGTTATTGCACCAATGGAGAACCAAAGCACTGAATCCGAATGTCAATGAGAGCAGCATACTCTCGCCACCACCAACATATGTAGCAGCCTACTTGGCTTTAATCGATATTCCCGAGTCCTTCCTTCCTCCTACTCGGCGTTCAGTGCCCAGATTACTACTACACAGCTACTAGCAGCCTACGAAGACAATGCATCCCGTTGACATCAGCAGCAACAACCGAAGTACATGAAGATGTCGACCGTGTAGACCATCCCCAAGACCAGGTACGTGCCCTCACATCATCATCCTCATCTCTCTCACTCTCTCCCTCGTCTTCTCTACCCACGTCTTCCCTCTCATGCACAAAGACCACCACCACCCGCTGACTAAGTCCAAGCCCCAGCCTGGCTTATGAAGGCTAAGCTATGGCGCTGCCCTCAGCAGCGCCCTGTATCCTCTCGACGCCCGCGCGCGCGCCTGCACCTAGCGCTAGTGCAACAAGCAGCCCGCTAGTCTACGCTCCAGCAGCGCTGCCGCCCGCAAGTGCAAGTGCCCGAATGTCCAGCCCGGAGCCCAGCCCTTTTCTATATGGGAAGTGGCGGGCTCTTTCCGCTTGCCTCCCATGTGAGACCGAGTTTCCAGTAGCTGCTTCAGTCTCGGCCAAAGTGTCTGCGCCCAGGTCCCTTCAGACAGTGGCCTGAGACCAAATTGGTTAGGCATGCCCC